CAGCACAGCCACTGCTATAAGAATACAATGGCCCGGCAGGGGAAATTCCTCTATCCACACTGTTTTGCTTGGATTGGGTAATCAAGTTTATTGATTCCATTTCATGTGCAGGAAGCTTGACTTAAGCACCTATTTATGTTTCTGCTTTAGGGTTCTAGGCCTGCTGACAATTGATTAATCATAGTATCCTGTTAAAACAATATCTACTATTAGTAGATAGTAGACTACAGCTAATCCTCGCTTACCGACTTACCTGCTTTGCGACCACTCGCACTTACGACCGCCCTCCGACCTTGCGCGTCAGTGCGACGTGTCACCGGTGGAAGTGATGTCCTCCGTTCTTCACTGCGGGTCCCGGTAAGTATTTCATTGCCCGATGTACAGTACACTGTTCAGTACTGTACATCTGCAACGCTATACAGTACTGTACTAATGCAGTACAGTACTGTATAGAGTTCCTCACTTAATGACCAACTCGTTTAACGACCTGGTCGTAGGAATGGAACTCGGTCGTTAAGTGAGGAATACCTGTACTATTATATTGTATATTAGAAATGTGTGAGTAGCATTGTTACATCAGTCATGTAGTTTGTGTTGATTAGAATATGACATGAAGAACTTTATATTTTATCCAGCTGATAAGGAGATTTTTTTTCATGCTGTGACAAAAGATAGAATATGTTACCTAACTAAACACTCTACCAATACAAAAGTATTACTAATTCAAGCAGTGCTAACATCCATTAACTAAATGCCATGATATATGCGATATACCGGGGTTTGTGTCATACATACCTTGCACTTTGTGGATATTATAACTGTGACAAACAGTATCACCACTTCAATGAAGCCTTGAAAGTGGTTTGTTCAACCAAGCATCCTGTTTGCTTTCTTCATTGCAGCTGTACGCGAGGCTGAGCGGTTTAGGGATTTACACGCTATCATTTTAAAAACTTTTTCCCGTAAGTACTGTATGTTCTTGCTATGGTGTGGCATGGTTACATTTTCATGCATGCAGACTTTCCTATATAGTAAGTGGTTATGATATTTCGTGGCATGTGGTGATGTGTTGCATGCTCTGGAAAAAAAACATGCTAATTTTAGATTTGTGTTTGTATGTTTTTACAATTATACAGATGGACCAAACGCTTTTGCAAAACAGAATATTAAAAGAGAACTATGGGGTAACCTTTTTATCCCATAGTTCTCTGTAGGGTCACAGGAGGACATATACAAACGTCCTCCTGTGACCCAAAGCTCAGTATATAGAGAGCACCGCATCCTGGATGGATGCCGACAAAACTGTTGAGATCCACCCAGCTGTCTGATTGACAGTGAGCTCTGCCTATCTAGAGGCAGAGTCAGCTGTGCCTGCCCCGTCCGTTCCTCCTGGAGGAGAGGGGGGGGGGAATCCCTGCGGGGAGCGGTGACTGACAGTGACCACTCTCTGCACTGAGATGATCGGAAAGTGAACAAGTGACCATATGTGTTCTCTCACTTCCCGATCTATAGTGCTGACGTATGACAGTTTCAATGTCACACGTTGGCTCTAACTATGAGGATGAGTGTAAATCACTCACCTCATAGTCCTCCTTTAAGGGGTTGATTTACTAAAGGCAAATACGCTGTTCACTTTGTGAGGGAAGTTTCCCTTAGCTTTCTAAATGCGGTGAGAAATACCCAACCACGTGCAAGGAAATAAAAAAATAAATATATATATTTTTTTCTTGCCCATGATTGGCTGATGTAAGTCAGCAGAGCTTCCTCTCATTCACTAAGCTAAGGTAAAGTGAACAGTCTATTGACCTATAGGTATAACAACCCCACTATGTGATACAAGTGTATAGTAACTTCTGTATTTATCTTCACACATGTCTATATAATGTTGTCATAACCTAAGCAGGTGAAAATATTAAGATATTAAGGCTTTTCAGAAGCCCATTTACTGTTACAGAGTGTAATGTGTTTCAAAGAACCTGCAGAAATGTGCCACATGTACCATGAGCTCTGAGCAGTCACATGTAGCATAAAAAAAATAACTCTTGCTGGGCATTTTATACACAGTAGAAGAAATGGAGACTTTTAAATATGACATTTCTCCTAGAAGCATGTGTGATGCTAGCTGTTCATTCTTCACCTTTAACTTAGTCTGCATGTGAGATGTTTCAGTGTTGCACAATAAACACTCTTTAATTAATAAATATAATTATTTCCTGTACATATTTTATGCATGTGCACATTAATTTACCACTTGCACTAAGAATGTAAGCCTGGCCATACACTAAAAGACTTATTTTGTTCAGTCTTTCATCCACACTAAACAGTGTGACTGGATACAAATCCCACTGCTGGCTATTGTGTTCAGCAGTTGCTGGAGCAGACAGTGCCTGCATCAGAATACCCCTGACCATGCCTGCATCTAATTGGCCAAAAATTTTCAGACCAGATCCTTTCAAAAAAGTCGATTTTTATCTAGCAGATGGGTGACGAGGTCACCCTCAGATCAGACTGCAGCCAGTTCATCAGGAGTCAGCTTAAATTTTACTTCAAGCACACCCATAGTCATTGTGATAGAAAACTGAGAACATGCCTCCCCATGTCTCTCTGTTGGTTCAAAATTATACATGGTGGTCGAACTCTCTAGTAGTCATATAGGGCAGAAGGGGAAGGGGACAGGCCAAGGCTTGACTTAGGAACTGAAGTAATAATTTGTATGATTGAGCACCATGGGTTTCAAGGCTTTCAGGGAGATCTGGAAGGCTGCACAGGGAACATTCAGGCACTTTTACATGCTTGCATTGTACTTTCATTATATGAACTTAAAGTGACATTAAACCCTCAGATTTTTTAACATAAACCAATACTGTAATGTGTGCCTTACTGTAATCCATGGTAGTTTCCCTTCTCTTTGCTGCTTTTCCTTTTAAATCCTCATGTCTTCTCATGCTTGGGGAGAACTTCTCTTTGCAGCTGAGTGCCTCTTCCTGTAGTGCTGGCTCAGGTTGCAAACCTACACACAGACACCATGGGGTCTATTCACGAAGCTGCCAAGGGCAGCCGAGTGAATGACCGATCTAAAGTGAAGTGAGCCGAACACTGTTCGCCTATTCACTTCAGGATGGTACGGCTAATTTCAGCCATACATCGGCTGAAATCAGCCGTACATCGGCTTGCTTCGTGTGGCTTTGGGTCGGCCGAACATGCTCAGCATGTTCGGCCAACCCGAAGTGCAGAAGGAGTTCGACTCAGCCGATCCAACATCTGGATCGGCTGAGCCGAACCTCCGGCAGGCTACTCACTGCTGTTCGGGCTATTCTTAAAGATCCCGAACAGCAGTGAGTGAATAGCCGAATGCCGCCGAGCGGCATTTGGCTCGGTTGTTCTGCTCGGTCCCTCAGAGGTACCGAGCAGAACAGAAAAAGAGTGAAAAAAGTAAATAGCAAACGATTGTGCGGAGCTAGCAGTGACAGCTAGCTCCGCCCAATAGTTTCCTATTGTCCGGTGGCTCTGCTGCTGTCAAAAAAAAGAAGAAAAAAAACTCTCTCACGGGCGCTCTGGGAGCCTCCCGGTCCCGGCCGCCCAGAAGAGAAACACTGCTGTGTCTTTTTTTTTCTTTATTCTGACACGATCGATGTCACAATAAAAAAAAAAGAAATTTCCCTATTGAAAAGCATTGGGACATTACTATTGGCTATTTCAATTTGCATTGTACCCGCCCTCTGCTGATGGGCCTGGTGGGGAACTGCAGCAGAGGGCGGGTACAATGCTAGTTTACTATTGGCTATTGCAAATACCTGCTTACGCCCCTGCGCCCCTGCTTCTACTGAACCGAAGGGGTCCTGGGGCCGGAAGCTACAGCCAGATCCTTCGGCAGCTTCGTGAATAGACCCCCATATATCCATTCCAGAGACAAGGCAGTCTGCTGCAAAACAGAAGTTCTGCCCAGCATGAGAACAGATACAGATTTAAAAGGAAGAGCAGCAAAAAGAAGGGAAACAACCATGGATTACAGTAAGGCACACATTACAGTATTGTTTTGTGTTAAAAAATCTGAGGGTTTAATGTCACTTTAAGGGATTGTGTACATGAACTTTATTCATGTCTAAACTGCCTTTCTCCCCTAACAAGTCAATGCATTGCAAAGCAGTTTGAAACAGCTAAGAAGGTAATCAGAAGCAGGTCAGTAGCATGCCTAAAAGCATACCTCATTTGCCACTCCACAACTCTTTAAACTGCTACAGGTACACATTCACGTTACTAATCCCCAGTGTCTCTAAGTGTGTGTAATTTTTGTGCACTTTATCTTAAAGCAAGCATAATAAAATGTTTTTTTCTATAAAGGCTAAGTTCACCTTTAAAGAAATGCATATTAAGTAATAAAAAAAGCATTTTTAAAATGTTTTAATTTAGGCATTGCCACTATGATCACTAGATTGCGGCTGCTAAGCTTCCACAGTTTCCTCACAAACTGAAGCGCCGTACTGAGCTGCAGAGTTTCAGTTTAAATCTCCCTCTAAAATGGCACGCTGACCATTCTCTTTGCTAGCAAGAAGTGCTTCTTATTGGTCATCGTGGTCAGGTGATCGTGCTGACCAATGAGTGCTCGCCTTATGAGAGTGACATTTTAACTGAAATTCTGTACCTCAGTACAAAGCTTCAGGTTGGGTGGAAACCGTTGAAGCCTGAGTTTTGCAGCCGTGGTCCAGTGATCACAGTTGCAATGCTTTCCAGGCTTGAATGCAACAATAAAAAAAAACAAATTTGTTTCATATTGTTGCATATGCATTTCCTTAATTTTTGCAAGAGGTGAATGTAGCCTTTAAGGAAAGAGAAAACTCTGTCTTGTTCTGCTATGTGTACTTAATAAAAAATGTAAATAAGGTTACATTTACAACCTTTGCAACTTTGTATTCCTATTTGTTATATATATGCTAATCTAAAGTACAGGGTCACTCTTTTTTCGATAGTTACTAACTTGTTCATTATGTTGTCTCTTCCAGCTGATAATATTAAAGTAGAGACTCACAGTGATGAGGAGAATGGTCGTGCTTGTGAAATGAATGGCGAAGAATGCGCAGAAGATTTACGAATAATCGATGCAGCAGGGGAGAAAATGAATGGCGCGCTGAATGGACAGGGCACCAAAGCCTTGACAGGAGTTGGAGGTATTCGACTTCCTAACGGAAAACTAAAATGTGATATCTGTGGGATAATATGCATCGGCCCCAATGTACTCATGGTACACAAAAGAAGCCACACTGGTAAGGCCTGACATAGTTTTTTCTTTAAAGGCCGAAACAATTATACGTCATGGCATGCTATAAGTGCTGCGATCATGTGGCTTTATATGAGGCAGTTGACCACTTACACAATGTAAACTGTTCTTTTCTCCAAAAACAGCTGTGACATCAATATTGCAAGGTGTTTCTGTTTAGGTCAGGAAAATACTGTTGTGTCTAATTTGCAAATTAAGGCTAAGAATTCAAATTTTACTTTAGAGCATATGTAAGCAAGAAAGAATTCAGATAATAGACAGTAAAATATTATTCACTACAAATTCATCTTATCATAGTTTACATTGCTGGTAATACATTTAGTCACCTAAAAATAAAAATAGGTATTTTATGGGGGCAGTGTCAAGGGTGATGTCAAGATGGTACTACTAGTTTGATGAAAGTCCCTCATGGGCTATGAACTTAGCACTCCATTAGGTTGATTTACTAAAGGCAAATAGGCAGCTTACTTTGCAAGGGAATTTGCACTTTTTTGGTGGAACTTTTCCCTTAGCTTAGTGATTATGGTGAAATTTTACTTGGCAAAGAATACCCAATTACATACAAGGAAAGAAAAACTGTATTTTTGCTTGCACGTGATTGGATGATGGAAGTCAGCAGAGTTTCCACTCATTCACAAAACTAAGGGAAACAATTCAACGAACCACACAAACGGTACCGCATTCCAGATTATATGTAACAGTACTATGAACAAAACATTTACTTTTTGGATACCCACAAGAGCAATCAGCAATGTAGAACATGTATCATCTTTATTTCCATAAACACATATTAAAAAGACATATAAAATACATAAATGTGATGTTTGGAAGTACTGGCTCCAAATATAGCAACTAATTATCACCCTGAAATATCCAACTCCGATGGACAGAAATGCTGTTGTATATCAACGTATATGCACGAACAATGGTTTGATATACAACAGTATTTCTATCCACCAGAGTTGAATATTTGAGACGGATAACTAGTTGCTATATATTAGATCCAGTACTTCCAAACATCACATTTATATATTTTTTTTAATATGTGTTTATGTAAATAAAGATGATACATGTTTACATTATTAATTGTTGATTGCTCCTGTGGGTACATAAAAAGTAAATTTTTTGTTCATTGTATTGTTAGATTGTTAGAGAACATTCCATAGGTTAACTAAGGGAAAAGTATAACATATTTTAAATCACCACCTAAACCATGATAACAAACACCTAACATTCAAGTACAAACACCAAACAGTGTTAAATGGGGCTTTTAAGATGTCGTCAGAATGCAAAGGGACTTAACCAAACATATAATGATGCATAAACCACATGTTATATAATTTATTGAGATAACAACCATTTTTAAAATACATTTAAGATATATACATACAAAATATACATTCATGTTAAAAACATATCAAATAGCAGCTCCCTTGATAACGATATTAAATACAACGGCATAAAACCTCCCTGGAACAATCTTGACAATATATTTGAACAATTTCATAAAAATTCATAATCATCATTGAAATCATATGTAGTTCTGTACTGGGTCCAGCTTTCTACACGTTTTGTGAAGCTTCATCAGGAAGAACTGAGGTAGCCTATGATGTTCACATGATACGTAAATACATCAAATAATTACATTTGAATAAACTCCACTATACATAAATACCATTTTGTGAAGACTTCCTGGTGATTAGATCCACATATTTGGGGAGCCTCCCTCATCACCCAGGAAACAGAGAGGATGGAAAACTTACAAGGGTGACAAGGCAGGGGAGACACAATGCCTATCCATGAATACCTATAAATGTTACAATGTATATTGTGACTCTACCATTATTAATGCATATAGAAGGTGTCAAAACCATAACAGGTGTCTCTCCAACAGACAATCGATTAGTATATATAAATCACATAGTACCGCTGGCTAAGTAGGGACAAACTCAATACCAAGTTCCTCCATATCCAAGGATTACAGTCAGCAAAGATCATGATCATGAAATATATTTTTATCTCCGATAAGTTTAGGAAAAGTCATAGATAACTAATGGTATCCAGCATGTCACTATATGTACCCAAATATGTCTAAATATATACAAATATGTCTAAATATGTATGCAGATACTCCGAATAGGTGCATGTCATCCTACCTGTCATTATAACAAAAATGTTTACATAGAGAATAAATATAGTCATGCCGAAACCTGCTCAAAACAAGAACCCTGCCAGTTCCCACCGCCTCATCACACGCCGCCTGGCACTGTCGGCGTGTACGCATGTGACCGGAGTGGGCCGTAGATCCACAGATGTGCCCTTAAAGGGTGCATCTGTAATGGAGGTTTCCCCCCAAATGCGGGGCCCCTCCCCCTCCGGGCCCCTGTCGAATAGGACCCGCGCCAAAAAATTTGTCAGCGCCGTCCCATTCTCACGTCCACATTTAAATAAACTCCACTAATTAAACATTAAAAATATAAATGAACAATCACAGAGTAAATACAGAAATACCATTTTGTAAAGACTTTGTGGTGATTATATCCGCATATCTGGGGAGTCTCCCTTATCACCCAGGAAACAGAGAGGATGGAAAACGTACAGGGGCGACAAGACAGGGGATGCAAGGGGCCTATCCATGAATACCTATAAACGTTACAATGCATATTGTGACTCTACCATACAGGGGCATAACTAGAAATCACAGGGCCCCATAGTAAAATTTTGTTTGGGGCCCTGTGATTTCTAGTTACGCCCACCTGATATCCCAAATAGCCCCCCTGTGAGTGACCCTGCAGAGCCCACCATAGACTGTCTATGGTGGGCTCTGCAGGGTTTCAGGTGGGCTTGTCAAACCCTCTTATCTGTCAGCCCCGATCCGTTTTCTGCCTCCTCCTCCAAATTCGATGCCGGGCCATGCCTCCTCTGTCACTGGGCCCCGCCTCCTCCATTGCTGTCGACGCTGGGCCCAGCCTCCTCCTCCGCAGCTGCTGGCTCTCCCTGACTCAGCAGCGGTTGTGAGGAGGAATGCATTGCTGCATAGATCACTGACAGGTTGTCAGTGATCTGAACAGCGGCATGTTCCTCCTCACAGCCGCCAGTGGCAGCCAGCAGCCTGAGATGCCATAGCGACCCAGGTGGCCTGCACGGCATCAGTGGGATGTTTTGGCCAGGGCCAGATAGCGGCCGCCTGGGTCGCTATGGCAATTGTCCACCACTGCTACCATATATGGTATTATTAATGCATATAAAATGCATATAGAAGGTCTCAAAACTACAACAGGTGTCTCGCCAACAGACAATCGATTATTATATGTAAACCGCATTGTACCTCTAGCTAAGTAGGGACAAACTGAATACCAAGATCCTCTATATCTAAGGATTATAGTCAGCAGAGATCATGATGCTAATATTTTGATGCTAAAATATATACAGTATGCAGATACTCCGAATAGGTACATGTCATCCTACCGGTCATTATAAAAAAAACTTTTACATAGAGAATAAATATACACATGCCTAAACCTGCTCAAACCAAGACTACAATGTGGATATGTCCATACCTTGTAAGTGTGATCAGAATCATCACACACTTGAAGCCAGCTTCCCCAAGCCCAGCTGACCTTGTCTCCACTCTCCCTGCTGAGTTCCCGTCACCACATCACTTTCTGCCTGGTACTAGAAGCATGTGACGTATACGGCCGGAGCGGGCCTTAAGTCCATACATGCGCCCCTTAAAAGGCGCATCAGTAATGGAGGTTTCCCCCAAATGCGCGGCCCCTCCTTCCAATGGGACAGTGGCAGACAGAGCCCAAAGAAGCAAGCGGGAACGTCGCCCCTCCCCATTCCGACCAGAGGAGAGGTGATGCTTAGGTTCAGACCATCCCCCATTAGATGTAATAAGGGGGCATGCCCGATAAATCCCAATCCCTGTAAGAGAAGCAGCTTCCAGGCATGTGAGCAAGCACAATCCAGCGCTCAACATTAAAAAACTAAGGGGTCTATTCACCAAGCTGCCGAGGGCAGCCGAGTGAATGACCGATCTGAAGTGAAGTGAGCCGAACACTGTTCGGCTATTCACTTCAGGCTGGTACGGCTGATTTCAGCCGTACATCGGCTGAAATCAGCCATACATCGGCTTGCTTCGAGTGGCTTCGGGTCGGCCGAACATGCTCAGCATGTTCGGCCGACCAAAAGGCTGCTCGGCCAGCTTCGGCTTTCAGCACGGCTCAGCCGAGCAGATACATATGCGTTCAGCTCGGCTGAGCCGCTCGGCCATGATCGGGAGCTGTACGGGCTATTGTGAATAGCCCGTACAGCACCCCTTCGGTTCTACTGAACCGAAGGGGTCCTGGGGCCGAAGCTAGCCGAAGGATCGACCGAAGCTATGGCCAGATCCTTCGGCAGCTTCGTGAATAGACCCCTAAGAGAAAAGTTCCCATGCAAAGTGCAAATTCCCTTGCAAAGTGAACAGCCTATTTGCAGATATTCAACCCACATTACTTGAGATGGAAAAGTTCTTTCTATTTAGTCACTATGCTACCCTGCTAAAATGTGGAAGGGACAGAAGTGAGCATGTGTACCCTTTTAGTTGATCACCTTGACCATGAATATTGTCTTAATGCGGAATCTACCACGTTAAAATGAGAGATAGACTGATAGACAAGAATGTGACTACTGTTGATATAACATTTTTCAGCTTAGTAGGAGAATTTTATTTATTTATTTTTTGCATTAACAAATATAGAATGAGCATACATATATTACAAAATGTAGCTTAACATTTGTGTTAACTTTCCATGTGGTAAGCCTATTTGACCATAGTTCTCTTCTGGGTCATTACTAATGTCTTCCGGTGTCGCAAAACTCAGTATATAGCGGGCTAATGGCCACCATATGCTGAGAACGCAGAGCCGCACCACAGCCGTGACGGCTCCCAACAATACTTTCGAGATCCACCCCAGTGGCTGATTGACAGCTGGCTCTTCC